TAGATATCCATAATTTGTAAAAGTTTTTAAGGCCATTAAGTTTTAACTTGACTGCACCTTTTTTTTCCCTTTTCCGAGGACAGGTTGATACTGTAATCGCTCTCAAAATAATACTAGTCGAATATAATATATATATATATAAATATATATATATATATATATATATATAAATGCATACATACTAAATATTAATTTTTGCAATAATATAATATAACATATTTTATTATAAACTATTAGAATTATAGAAGCATAGTAAAACTTAAAGTGAAAGGACTTTTAAATGCAAATTGGATCATCTTGGTAAAGTTCAATGTCATTTAAAATGGGACAAATTCTTATAATATATTTTAAGATTTCTAGAGCCCCTAAATCAACCAACCAGGCCCACAAAATGGCCCAAATCAGAGGCCTATACCTACCAGCCCATCTACTCTATCCTCACTTCCATGTAGACGCTACATGAGCCCCACGTCATCGCCACATAGGCGCCAACGGTCTGAATCCTATGACCAACACATGCCCAGCACACGCCCTCCTCACCCCTTCACACTCTGACACCACACCTTCTAGAGAATTCTATGTATTTTTCTTTATTTTTACTTGTTTTATCCTAAGCCTAATCTGAGCCATCCGTTATTTTAGTCCAATGGTCAATATTTATCCCATCAATTAAATCAAAGTTGCTAACCCTTCTCTCTCTCTCCTAACCCAACAGACGCTCTTTATGGTCCCTTTCTTCCCCTGCAATGGCAGATTTCTTTTGGCTTCTTCTCCAATTTTGAGTAAAGATTTGACCTCTCATATTATGAAAGCAGAGATTCCAGGCTCATTCCAAGCAAATGTCTGCAGCCCCAACGTAATTCTAATTTTTTTTGACAAAGATTCAAACTGAATTTCCATTTGCAATGAAGTTGACAAAGGTTAAAAAATTGATTCTCTTTTACTTCCCTTTTTTCATCATTTTTGGCAAACAAATCTCTGCTCCATTTGATTTTCTCGCACTTGAGCCTCTGCTATATGCTGTCAAATGGCTCTTTTAGCCATGCGTAATTTGATTTTCGATTTGGAAAATTTCGCCCAAAAAATCAACTCCTAAAACCCTAAATTTCCCCTATAAAAATCAATATTTGAGAAGTGTATGGACAAGCTTTAGCCTCCCCATTTACCCCCTTTTAAATCTTAAGATTCAACCACCACAACTAGGTCTCATAGTTACTGCTCTTATTTTACTTTTAAAAACTTTATTCCCTTCCTTATTTTTGACCTATGTTGGGTTTTAACCATAACAAAGATTTTCTTAGTTGTCTTCCGGTAGCGAGGCCGCGTTCGGTGTTTCGTTGGATCCGAGACCTCAGTCCCGATTCTCTGCCCCAAAACAGGTCGGTATCTTTTATCTTCTTATTTTTCCGATGCCGTAAAGTTAAGAAGAATTCATGTTTTTGAATGTATCGTGGGTTTGCTGTTAGTATTTTTTTTGTTCTAGATATCATGGAAGAATAGGAGTTTGATATAGGATCCTCCTCTTGCTTGTATATCATATTATGATTTAGTTACTATCCTTATATTTGAATTCATGTTCTAAAATAGTTGCTGCTCTTGCCTATTGATGTCACGACCCAAAATCTAACAATGGTCGTGATGGCGCCTATCGTGTTAGAAGGCAAACCTATTCCCAAAATATTACTACTAATTTGATTATAAGAATTTAATAAAATATTTTCATTAATTTAATTCCTGATAAGCTAAACCAACTCTAAATATAAATAATATAAAATACGAAAATGAGTCCCAAAAATCGGGGTGTCACTAAGTCATGAGCGTCTAAAACTATGAACTGAGATATATAAACTATCTAAATATCCAAAGACGAAATGATAAAAGGAGTAACAAGGTCCTGTGGATGCTGGCAGCTACCTTGCAGTCTCCAATTAAAGCCGGAAGCAAAATAGTCCAATTATTTATTTTTATAATTTTAAAAATAATAGGAATAAACAGGTAAATTTCATAACTCCGTAAATGCCGCAAAGAAATTTAATAGATAAATGCAGCAACAGCAAAAGTAAATGCAACCTCACAGCAATGTCACTCCATCACTCAGCACCCAACACTCAACACTCTGCGCTCACTGGGGGTGTGTACAGACTCCGGAGGGGCTCCCAAAGCCCAAGCGCTAAGCACGGACGACTAATGTGCCAACATATCAATACTTGGATTCTCACGGTCAACTCACGTGCTACGCGGAAAACTCACGCGCTATGGTATCAATACCTGGACCCGCATGGTCAACTGACGTGCTATGCGGACAACTCACGCGCTATGGTATTAATATCCTCACAACTAGGCCAACATATCAATACCTGGATCCGCACGGTCAACTCACGTGGTACGCGGACAACTCACGCGCTATGGTATCAATTCCCGGACTCACACGATCAACTCACGTGCTACTTGGACAACTCACGCGCTATGGTATTAATATCCTCACAATCAGGCCATCGGTCTCACTGAATCATGTACTTCACTAGCCTCACCATCATCAACAAATAAGGGGACACAACCCACATCAAGTATCACATCATATTAGCAAATAGTAGAGACGGAGGTAAACATGTACAATAATTTCTATGACTGAGTATAATTAATGTGAGCATGAATAAAGCCTAATCATGATCCCTAACATGAAGGCAGACAAGTTCAATAACAAGTAAATGCATAAACACAGATAATGGCCATTAGGCCTCATAGGACGGACCAAGTCTCAACCCCTCAAGGCGTACACCCACACACCCGTCACCTAGCGTAGGTATCACCTCCAAAAAATCACATGATATCAAACTCTCCAGGTTTATACCCTCAAAGCCAGAGTTAAAACAGTTACTTACCTCAACCGCGTAAAATCTTACTCCGGGATGCCCTCGTCTCTGGACTCGGTCTCCAAAAGCTCCGAATTTAACCATAATCAGATTAATACCATCAACATATGCTAAAGAATCGAATTCCACAATAAAAACTACAAAATATGCCAAAAATCCAAAATCGGCCAAAACTCGGTCCCCGGGCCCACGTCTCGAAACCAGTCAAAAATGGCAGAATAATATCCTCGTCCTCTCCCGAGTCTAACCATATAAAATTTATCAAACTCCGTTTGTTCCCTCAAATCCTCACTTAAAACTCTCCAAAACTTAAACCCTAACTCCCTCAATTTCACTTTGAAATCATCAATCAAATCCCAAAAGCGAATATGGATTCATGAAATGTAACTAAAATCGAGTAAAGAGCACTTACCCCAATCCCTAAGGTGAAAATCGCCTCCGAAATCGCCCAAATCCGAGCTCCCCAACTCAAAATATGACCGAATGAACAAACTCTAGTTTTATATATATTTTTCTGCCAGTTATTTTGCCTCGTTTCTCATGCCAAACGATCTCGAAACTCATATTTTATGCCTCCAATGGATTCCCTGTGAAATTCTAGTCAAGTTAGTCTTTTGAATCACTCAATTTGACCTTATAATGAATGATATATGTAGGTTTTAATATTTGCAAATATTGCAGATTTTTAAATACGCCATCGGTGGCAATTTCGTAATTAATCTAAAAAATCTATCAACCTTATTCTTAGTAAAATGACCATAAAATCCTCATACGATGTCCAAATTCGACGATTCTTTTTGGTACGGGTCCGTAATTACGATACGGATCTAATGCTTCAATCAAAGAAGAAATCGGAGTTTATTTGTTCAATATGATATCATTTTTGCTTGAAGAAACGTCGTCGAAAAATAAGAAAAACGAGCGCAACACAATCCAAACCTATCCGAAACTCACCCGAGGCCCTCGGGACCTCAACCAATAATTCCGACAAGTCATATATCACTACACGAACTTAGTCAGACCTCCGGAATACCCAAAGCAACACCAAACACCAAATCAACCTCGAATTTAAGCCTAAGAACTTCTAAACTTCCGAAATTCACCAACGACGCCGAAACCTATCAAACCACGTCCGAATGACCTCAAATTTTTCAGACACATCACAAATGACACCAAGAACCTACTCCAACTTCCGGAATCCCATTCCAACCTCGATACCTAATTTTCCACTGCCGACCAAAATCGCCAAATTTCTAACTTTCGCCAATTCAAGCCTAATTCTACCACGGACCTCCAAATTATATTCCGGACACACTCCTAAGTCTAAAATCACCCAACGAAGCTAACCGAATCATAAAATCCAAATCCAAATTTGATTACTCATAAGTCAACTTCTGGTTGACTTTTCTAACTAAGAGACTAAGTGATCATTTCACTCCAAAACTACTCCGAACCCAAACCTACCAACTCGATACAACTCAACACAGCTGAACAACATATAAAGAAATGGAAATGGGGGAAACGGGGCTATAACTCTCAGAACGACTGACCGGGTTGTTACATCCTCTCCCTCTTAAATAAATGTTCGTCCTCGAACGAGTCTAAAACATACCTGAAATCACATGATATACCACATAATTCAAACACTCAGAACGATGATTTCTAATCATAGCAGCTGCCCAAAACAACCAAACGCTGGTAATAAACCTCTTATCAGACAGAGCCTGAACAAGCTATATCAAGTCACAAATCAAACACCCATTAGTCCTTGCTACATCTC